CCCCCCCTCAGTGCCCCCCAGCCCTCCCAGGGGCCCCCGATGTCGGAGCAGGACGGGACCTGAGCGGTCAAGCAGGAGTTGGGGACAGACAGACACAGGTACTGGGGGGACAGACACAGGTACTGGGGGGACATGGAGCTCTCTGGGGGGCTGGGGAGGGTCCCCAAATGACGGGGGCCTCACCCCCTGCCCCCGTTCAGGCTGACCTGAGCCACTGGTGACCCAGGAGATGGGGAGACCCCCCCAGGAAGCCCCCCAGGAACCCCCGAGGGGGGGGGGGGCTGCAACGGGACCTCCCGGAGCCACGGAGAGCAGGGCCCCAACCCGGGCCCCCCCCATAAAGCTGGTGTTGAGACCCCGACTCTGAGCCTGCTCTGGGGGCACTGGGAGGACAGGGACGAGCCTGTGGGACCTGGTGGGTGGGGTGGGTACACACTGGGGTGGGTACACACTGGGGTGGGCACACACTGGGGTGGGTACACACTGGGGTGGGTACACACTGGGGTGGGTACACACGGGGCTGGGGGGCTGCGCTGGCGCTGTCCTGCCCCACAGGTGTTTATTAGGGGAGGGGGCTCACAGGGGAGGGGGTCTCTGGTAGCTCAGCTGGGGCTGGGGCCAGCGGGGGGGCAGGAGGTAGAGCAGGGCCAGCAGGGCCAGCAGGGTCAGTGCCCAGGGTGCCCACGGTGACGCCCGTGGCCGGGCGGGCTCCTCGCCGCTCCCCGCTGCAGGCACTGCCGGCCCCGAGCCCTCCTCTTCCTCCTCCTCCTCCTCCTCCTCCTGCTCCTGCTGCGTGTCCCCTGTCCCCTGGGCAGGGCAGCGGGCCGGGGGTCACACGGGGAGGGGGGGTCAGGGGCTGTGGGGAGCCCTCAGGGACCCCGGTGCCCCCTCCCTTACCCGGCTCGGCGCCGCCGCGGCCGCCACGTCCGTGGCCTGGTCCAGGGGGCACCAGGGGCGCCTGCGGGAGGAAGAGGAGGGGTGAGGGTGGCACCGGTGGATCCCCCCGCCTTTTTGGCCCTTTCCTCCACATTTCTGAGCTCTGGGAGCGCTGGGAAGGCTGGAGTGCTCCGGGCTGCCGGCCAGCCGGGATGCCGAGAGGAGCCGGAGCTGGGCCGGAGTGTCCCCATCCCCTCACTGCCCCCGTGTCCCCATCCCCTCCCTGCCCTCGTGTCCCCATCCCCTCCCCACCCCCGTGTCCCTTTCCCCCCGGCCCCCCGTACATGGCCCAGGCGTCCCTCATCCGGCCCAGCTGCTGCCGCAGCTGCATTGTCTCCAGCCGCAGTTCCTGGGGGGAAAAAGGGCGTTTTTCAGCCTGCACGGGGGGGTGGAACTCAGGCAGCCTCTGCCCCTGACCCCCAGAGACGGTGGCCGCCATGGGGGTCTGCTGTGGTCCAGGGGCTCCCTGTCCCCCCAGGGGCTCTGTGTCCCCCCCCAAGGGCTCCGTGTCCCCCCACAAGGGGCTGGCTCTGGCCGTGCTGTACCTGCACCGCCCGGTCGTACTCCTCCAGTGCCACGGCCAGCTCCTGCGCCCGCCGCCCCGCCTGCGGAACGGGCCCAGCGTGAGGGGCTGTGGGGAAACCCGGGGTGGCTCTGGGGGTGACAACCGAGGCGGTGGGATCGTCCCTGGGCAGCGCTCACCTGGGCCAGGGCGGCGTCCCGGGCAGAGAGGAGCGCGGTGCCCCTGCAGAGCTGGGCCTGGGCGGAGGGTGAGGGGACAGGGACCCGCCTCGTTGGCACGTAACACCGGTCCCTGGCACCGGCGGGGAGGCAGGGCCGCCGTGGCCACCGCCAGCACTTACCTCCAGGTCGGCCACGCGGGCCGCCTGCGCCTGGATCTGCTCCCGCAGCCCCTGGCCCTCGGCGAGCAGCCGCTGGTTCTGCCCGCGGCAAAAAACGGGGCCGGGGGGTCACCGCGGCACCATCCCGGGTCCGTCCCAAGATCCTGGGCGGCCCCTCGGCCCCGGCCTCACCTCCTCCTGGAGACCCTCGGCCCGCGAGCACAGGCTCCGCTGCTCCTTCTCCTGGGAACGATGGACGCAGGGCCGTGAGCCGGGGGGATTGTGCCAAGGGCGCGTCGGCCCCACTCGCCACGTGCCGCTCACCATGTGCCGCGCCTGCCGCCGCAGCTCCCCGTTCTCCTCCTCCAGCCCCTTCGCCACGGCCTTCAGGTCCTCCAGCTCCTCGGCGGCCGCCCTGGCCTGCTCCAGCGCCTGCCGGCTGCTGCCGGGGGGGGGAAAAAAAGGGGCACACGGAGGTGCTTCGGCAGCCCCGGAGCGCCCCGGCAAGAAGCCGCCAACCCGTCGCCGGCTCCGCACCTCCGCAGCTGAGCCTGGAGCTGGGCCGTCTCCTCGGCCAGGCGGGCGTTGAGCTCCTCGGCCAGCTCGGCGTCCCGCTGCAGCTTGGTGTTGTGGTCGGCCAGCTGCCTGGCCCGGCTGCGCAGCCCCGCGGCCTCGGCGCTGCCGGGGGAGTCCCAGCGGTCCCGGGGGCTGCTCCGAGGGCTGGGGGAGAGCCCAGCCCAGCCCCGGAGCGTGGCTGGGGCTGGGGATGTCCCCGAGGCCGACACATCCCCGAGGCCGACACTTACGGGCTGGTGACATCGCCGATGCCACCCTGGAGCTTGGTGGCTGCCAGGGCTGTGTGGGCATCCTCCTCTGCGGGGCAGGGACAGGGGGGATCGCCTTGGTGTCCCCCCCGCCCTGATTTCCCCCTTCCCGCACCGACACCCACCAGCCAGCGCCGGTCTGGGCTCGCTGCTCTCCGTGTCCTCCTGCTCCTCGCCCAGCCACGCGCTCCTGCGGGGACATGGGGGGGACCGGCACTGACCTGTCCTGCTGGCCCTGGCACTGACCAGTCCTCCTACACTGACCAGTCCCCCGGCGCTGCCCCCCGTGACTGACCCGTCCCGCCGACAGGCCGCGATCCAGGCGCCCATGGCCGCGCGGAACCGGGCCGGGTCCAGCGCGGCCCCCGAGGCCCGGGGGTCCAGCGCCCGCCGCAGCTCCTGCAGCCGCCCCTCGCGCCTGCTGCGCCCCGTCACCGACGCCACGTACTCCACCACCCGCTGCGGCAGCACCGTCCCTGCGGCGAGGGGACAGCGCAGGCCTCGGGTGAGGGGGGATTTTGGGCCCAGCCCGGGGGGTGAAGGGGGTTGGTTTGTCCATCCCTGTGGTGAGGGGACGGCGCAGGCCCCGGGTGAGGGGAGGGTTTGGGCCCGGCCCGGGGGGTGAAGGGGGTTTTGTCTGTCTGTCTGTCCACCACCTGTGTGCTCGGGGTCACAGGCGGCAAAGGTGCAGTCGAGGGCGAACTCGTCCGAGCAGCCGCTCTGGGCCGGGGCTGAGGGAGGGGGAGACACGGCGGGTCATGAGGGGGGTCCCGTGGATCATGAGGGGGGGTCCCGGTTCCCCCTCACCCCCCACCCAACCCACCCCCGGGCCCTCACGGTGCCCACCCGGCGGGGGCCCGGCGGCTCCCGGGGCGCAGGGTCCCTCCGCGGACATGGCCGGGGGGTCCTTCCCTGGTGCCCCGGGGGTCGCGGTTTGGGGGTCGGGGGG